CTATACCAAATGCTTGAAGGGAATAAGATCCTGATTATTTTTTTGACTTGGTGATTGTATTAGTAGCTTTCTTGACTCAATGGGATTTTTTCCACCATGACAAAGCAACCAAGTTCCTATTCCTGGAGGGCAGTTCAGGTTCAGACATCCTCAGGAGAGGCAGTTTAAAACCAGTATGTTGGGGTTTTATGCAACTTGAATAGTGACATGCAGCATGCCCCTTGTTTTACCTGTGAAGTAAAGTTGCAGAAGCACATTCTCAGATTACTATATTTGAAAAATCTTTTTTTCCTCCCCTGCTCATATTAGGGGGTGACAGAAGTGGGTACAGGCAACCCCTGAGAACAATTGGCTGTGTTGGGTTTGGTAAATGTTATGGTGGAAAATGTACATTGATGTCTCTAAGTGATCTTACGGGTTAACGAGCCAGACTGGCATCTTTTTCCATCATTGTTTAACCAATAATGGTTCTAAAAATGCTTTGTGTACCTGCATGGTCTTAGACCTTCTATTAATGATTGTATCAACTTACAAACTCAGGTAGATAATTTTTTTAAGCTCTTTTCATAGAGCCTTACTGACTGAATGTTAAGTGTCTGTGTAGTGATGTAGTTAAGTAACTTCCTTTTGAACTACCAGACTAGTTTAAAAAAAAAAAAAAAAGTCCTTTTATAGGTTTGTAGAGTACTTTTCAGACAATGTAGTAGTTTTTTTCCTTCAGAGGGAGATGTCTTTCTGGATTTTGTTTTTAGTTTATTTCCCAAAATGACTAAAAAGGTTTTAACTAGTTTGTAAGGTGTGCTTAGTCACCTGAGTTGGTGGGGGTTTCTTACTGTATGTGACTCTTGTTTGTACTGTGCATTACCTGTCATGTGCGTGCACAATTTGTTGGAGGAGTGAGGGTGTTGAACACAACGCCTGCAGTTTAAGTCAAGTAGAAATTGGAAGCCTTGAACAAAGTGGAGGTCATCCACGTGACACCAGTGTCACTAACGTGCATTTTTCTCCCCTCATTTAATTGGCTGTAGATTTATGGCCCCATCTTATACACTGGCAATGAAGTTTTTTAAGTAGTGCTGCCTTGGTGCAGGTTTGCATTGGGATGCAGAAGGATTTTTATCAGTCCTTGGATGTTGGGCATCTTGAGTCATTTGGATTTGTATTTGGTTTTGGGTTTTTTTTTTTTTTTTTTTTTTTTTCTTTCCTGTTGCAGTTGTTTCTCTTCTACTTTAGTGATTAATCATGCTGCTCTCCTAATAATAATAATAAATGTCTCAGCAGGACAGACAGTGCTCTGCTTTTAATGAGCTGCTCAGAGCTTTTATATCTAATTGATAATGAAACACACTGTGACAAGAACTTCCATGCTCCAAAAAGGGCATCACATTTCTACTTGGACAAAAAGTGACATTTTTAGATGTCAGATGTTGAGTTCCCGCAAAGAAAGCATGACAGGTTATGTGCAAACTTTTATGTAGAGTAAGTGAGCAAAATGTTAGAACCCTTGTGTTAATGGAGGCTTCTGAATGTATCTTTGTGGTCCATAGGGAAGGCTGAAGGATGTAGCAAGGAGACGATGTATCAGCTACTGGCAGCCTTAAAACAAAGTCAGTGTCTCTCTGGACTTTAAAATGTTCCTATGCAGTTTATTTTATTTTTGTTTAATCAAATAAATGTGAGTTTTTTCCATGGCAAGTCTGTGTATGTGTGTTTCTGTATTACCCAGACTTTCTTCTGCCAGGGTGCAGAAAAGAAAAAGCAGTTGCCTGAATTTGAACCTGACTTGCCTCCAGATGGTGACTACTGAGAACTTTAAGCAGAGGCACCTGCGTTCAAAGGAGAGAGGAGAAATGTTGAGGTGCTATAGAGAGAAGTGGGGGTTTTGGGGTGGTTTTTTTTTTAAGTTTTGATGCAGTGTCAAACTCTTAGTTGACTACTTTATTAAAAAAAACAGCCTCGCTGTCACGACTGGAGGAAATGCCTTTGATATGGAACTCGCCACCTGTACTCCATGCAGTTTTTCCAGTGTTTTGCCAGAAAGTTCCTGGTTTAACCTTGTTAGGTCCATTTCCAGGTTTACATTTCTTCACCTTTGCAGCTGTGAGAGTCATGCTTTTTCTGAGTGGTAGTGTAAAGCAAAGCCGCTGGAACATCTACTAGTGCATCTGGCATCTTGCAGAGCAGACTGCCAGTGCACGTTGGGTAAGGAGCGAAGGTGCTTCTTTGCTTACTACTTTGGAAAAGGTTTGAAAGGAAATGGTGAAATGGAAGATGTTCTTCAGCAAGTAAGGTCTGGGAATTCAGGCCGGTGACTGAACTCCAGCATGGGGAGCAGTGGAGGTGGATTCCAGTCTGTGAATGTGCCGACTGCAGTAGCTCTTCAAAGCTGGGACGCTTTCTGGCCCCAGCGGTGCACAGCTGTAGGACTGCTCAGCACCATGCTGTGCTCTACCCATCAAAATCCTTGACCAGACCATTGCTCTTTCTTCCTGCTGGAGGAGATCACTTCAAGTTGAAAGGATGGATGCAGAAGATCCTGTGAAGGGAAAAGCCTGCTCAGGTGAGTTTCAAGACTAACATGGCCAGCATTGTGTGGTACTTGTCCTTATTCCTTTGGCTTCTCTGTGCTCTCTCCCTGAACAAAACCAGAACCTGGAAGCTCATTGAACACCATGAGATGGCTCTGGACACTGCTGAACAAGTGCTGCACAGTTCTGGCACCATGACCTCTGTCTTCTACTTTCTTGCCAAAACACTTTGCTCTGAGTCCATGCCTGCATGTGGGCAGGGAGGCTGGGATATCAACAGAGGGTGTGCAACCACAGACCCCTGTCTCTGGCTGTAAGGATATGAGCCAGTGTGTCACTCTGCAGGGGTTGAGATCCAGGCTTGCTGGGATCCTGGAGGCAGGGGGAGGGCAGGAGGAGAGGGACAGGCGGCCTTTCCTTCAGGAACAGCCCAAACCAAAATAAGAAGCACTGAGCTTACAAACTGTGCTGCTTCTGCTCTCCCAGTGCTTTTACAAGAGGCCAGCTTGCAGTTTGACCTTCACATCTTTTACTATCAGAGCCTAAAAGCAACTGAGGGAAAAGGCTCAAGTGGAGGCTATGGCAATGCCAGAGAGGGAAGTGCATCCTTGATTCCTCTCTTCCTACATCTGTCTTGATATTTTTTTTTTTTCTTGTGTTAATGGTAAAACCATGAAACCCAACAGCTGAAAGTCACCACCACTCACCTCTCTCCTCAAGCAGCAGTGCTACAGCCAGGGGAAAAACGTCACGGAGCTGCTCTGGTCAGTGCAGGTACCTTAGGGCAGAAGAGCAGCATGAGGAGGAGAGCTGGGGCTGTGACTACTACTGCCCACATGCCAAGGCAGCTGGGACAAGATGTGTGTGTCTGGGGGACACCAGGGACACCTCCTGCATCCCTTGCTGGGCCCCGCGGGGAGTTGGGTGGCTTCCAGGCATTAGCAGCTTTTGCATGTGAAAGCCCTGCATTCCTCGGGGGGTGGGGAAGGGCAGAGAAGAATCTTCTCTATTCAGGGTCCAGGACCACACAGCTGCACCTCCAATCTCTTTGTATTCAATCACTCAATCTACTTTGACTTGATGGATGTATCAGCTCCCTTTCTCCCTTTCAGAAAGGTGATCTTTACATGCTTTTCCTGAATTTTTATTCCTAATACCTCCTTACCTGAGGGCAGAGTAGGTGCCACCTCCTACAGTGACAGAAAGTTATAGAAAAAGTCGGCTACATTACTCTGAAAGCCTTGAAACGTAGAGAAGCCAGTTACTGTCACAGAACAGGGACAGCAACAGAACTCCAGCTTTCTGCTGTTCAACTGAGGGGCCACACACTTGTTCCATCCTCCACCTTGTACGTTGTTTAATCACTGTACTATTCCTCTTTGGCCAGTTGTGGCGGGTTTGGTGAAGACCTTGGGGGTAAACCTAGGACCATCCTGCTGGCTTCTCTTCCCGTACACATCTGCACTACCTAATGCTCAAGTTGCTGAGAGCAGAACTTGCAGGACCTGCATCCCACGGGGCTACTTGGAAAGTACCCTTCCTGGTGGCAGCTGGAGGCAAAGTACAGTGCCAGCAGCACAGAGATAAGGTGTTATCCCAGCTCTACCCTGGAGATACATGGGCAAAGTCTCAGAACAGCTGAAATGGTGCACAACAGCCAGGGAGGGCTGCCCTACTGCACTGACAAAGCCTGAGCAGCTGTACCAGATGCTGCCCTTGCTGCCCCCCTTTCCTGTTTTAGCAAATGCTTTTTGGCTCTTAGCCCCTGTTGAGCCCAAGAGGCAGGAGAAGCAGGCAGAGCCCCTCTAGGTGAAGGCAGAGCAGCACTGCAGGAGAAGGTGCCACTTCCCAGCCTGTGCAGTCACACCCAGCGCTGCAGCATGTGACAACAGACCCACCCTGCTCCTGAGACTTTGCCCCAGCTCCCTCACCCTCAGACTCTTGACCACATGAACTAGAAAGGGGCACAGATGGGTTTTTCGCAAGGGCGCTGGGTACAAACTAATGACAATTAAGTCACTACTGCCTGGCAGTGCCCTGCCCTGTGATGTTGAGAAGGGCCTGAGAGTGTCCTGACACCACAGCCTCTTTGACCCTGGGACCTGCTCAGGCTTTCAGGCCAGTGCCACAGCTGCTAGCTTTAAGGAGAGAAAGATTACTTGAAAGACACTTACTTAGTTAACACTGGGCACCAGCCCCTTGCCCTTTTAGGGGGTGGTGTGCTGTTTGCACTTAAAATAATCTTAAGGTAACCCTAGGAAACTTGGGCGCATACCTACCCACCCCACCACCGTGCCTGAAGGGACACCTTCAGCTACAGCATGAACCAAACTTCCAGCTGCTTGGAGGAATACAAAACCATAGCTCCAACATGTCAAAAACACAACAACACAACAAACAGCTCAACTGCTCTTTTTTTTAGCAGGACTTTGGTGTTCTCCTTCCAGTCACTTCCCTCGCTTCTGTTCTTTTCAAGAAGAGCAGAATTACACACGTGGTTAACCACACCTTTTTGGTAAGTAAATGTCGCTCACATTCACAACAGATACCAACCTCTCTTCCTTTATGAAGTAACCTTTACAAACACTTGCAAGCACGCCTCTTTGTTTATATGTTTTATTAAAAATTTACATAAATGAACACACTCCAGCAATGCAGGTGTCTGTCCTAGGTTAAAAAAAATATACAAAATCCCCAGCCCTGGTGGGCAGGGCAGCAGCAGGTAACGCCCTCACTTCCTCTGAACAGTGGTGAAAGCTGGCATCTGAATGGGCTGGAGCGAGTGGACTGGCTGAAACACAGGCTTCTTCCGCATGTCAGAGAGCGTCTTCACAGAAGGGAGAAGCTGGTTTCTCTTGATGATCTGCAGTGCCAGCTGTGTGTTACCTACAAGACAACTTTTGATTACAATAAAAAAGAAGTACCTTTGTATGACTTACAAATCACTGTTCTTAGGATCAGGACTGACAAGGCAGCCCTGGGCCACGTACACGAGCAGTCTTCTGCTTCAGTGAAATGCTGACATGGACATGGAAAGTACTAGACAAAAGTAAATCTGAAACAACAGTATTACTGCTCCATGCTACCTGTTCTTAGCTGAAGACCTTAAGCATTAACCTTCTGGCTTGAAGATGCCAGAGCACGTGAAGGGCACCTCCTCTCTCTGCCATCCACAGAGCAAGACACCAGCTCTCACACAAAATGCCCTCACGATGTGACATTACAGAGTTATGCAAATGTCAAGGCTGTATAATAAAACATGTTTTTAAAACAAGAAATATGATTTTCAACTGTATGCTTGGCCCATCACATAAATACCAATATAAATGGAGAAATTATTCTTTGTTAAAAATCAAACCTATAAAATTCTAGGAGAAAACTGCTAAGAAAACCTCTTTGATAAGAGGAACTTTTCTCCCTCTTATCAAATACTTTTCTTTCACCAAAGTTTTAGTTTCAGAAGTGATGCACCATTTTGTTGCCATTTGTTGAACAAAAAATGGTCTTAGCTGCATTTAGTTATATACTCAGAAGAGAGGGAGCTGTCAATCCCACTTGCTCCTCTTTTCTGCTCTGTACTTTGTTGCAGAAAGAAAGGTTTCAAAAAAAAATCTCAACTTAAACATCTTTACAAGAAAAGCTTTGTAGACATCTCAACTCTGACTACAAACGCTCAGGTGCTCTGCCTGCCTGCAGAGCCAGACAGGTGAAGGGGAAGGAGCACCCCGAACGTTTCACAACACTGGATATTCAGCCCCAAGGGGCCCGGGGCTGCAGCGTCAGTGGTGCAGCTGCACCAGTCTGCTCGTGCTGCAGAACTCAAGCGCAATCATCCTTCCAGCTTCCCCATTACATAGAGGCTGTTTCGCACGCAAGCACAGAGAACCTTCAAGGGAGGATTTTAGAAGACAGAGTTATCAATGTTCTGATCAATATTAGAAGCTTTGTTAAAGAACTTGCTACGTAGGCCTTGACATGGCTGCTCTGGGAAACCTGGACTGCAGTTGTCTTAACAAAAAGCCTTTCAAGCTCTTTTTAGCATAAACCTCATCAAGGGTTTTACTGAGTCCATCCAAGACCACTGATTTCTGGACAAAGCACAGCAGATTTCAGCTCTGAAGATGAACGTTTAGGAAGTCAGAGGCGTGTAAGAACAGGATGGCAATAAGCAATGGAAACGAAGGTGTGGATACATGGATCCATAAAAGTGTAAAATGGAGACAGGGCCTAAAGAGTGTCATTCCAAATACTGGCACAGCTCGCTGAAGAGTAGGAATGATGACTATTGCCCTCCTCCCCTTGTATCCCAAATCTAGATTGGCATTTCAAAACTTTTGAAAACATTTAAAAACATTTCAAAACTTAAGAATTTGTTCTAACATCCTGCCTATAAGGGTTAGCTGTAAACTCCAAGGAAAAAATCTAAAATGTTAAAAATACCAAGTTACGTTCAACATTGCAGCTTGCATGTTAAATGAGGGTATTTAATGTTGGGGAAAAAACAAAACAAAACCAACCATTCCTTACCATTCTGTAATTCCAGATATACAGCCAGCAAAATAGCCTCTGGAGGGATCTCTTTGGGGTGGATCAGCGAAGCAGCCTTATTGAAAAAGGGGAGTGGGGAGAAAAAGTGCTTAAGAGAAACATCCAGCTCAAAGAAAGTGACAAGACTGTTACCACCATCGTAGCTAACAAAACCAAATAACAATTCATAAACTAAGATAAGATTTTTCAAACAAATAAATACACTGGTCAGGTTTATGCAGGTGAGGAGAGACTGAAAGATTACCTGCCTTGCAAGATTGTTTCACACTAATTAGCAGCACTATCTGCTGTACACTTATGTTAATATGGGTCTGTAATTCTTAGGCCAATCTACTGTGGTTTCCTGGTGAGATTACACTTGAAGAAGGTAACCTCCACTGCTCCAAAGTTCAAAACACACAGTTAACACAGTTAACAAGGACCATTCATTAGCTTTCCATATAGAAATCTTTTTCAGCTATGAAGTAGATGAATTTATTGTAGATGCAGAGACCTACTATACTTTACACCCACAGTTGGCCTTACACTCATTTGGGGTTTACACATGAGCTACAGAGCCAAGCACAGACATCTGCCCAATCCTAAAAAGACTTGGGAGGAAAAAAGAGCAAAACAACTGCCTTAAGCAGTTGAAAACATGACAGAATTTGAACCTGTTCACCTACACAACTACTACAAAGTAATCTGGAAAATTTTTGTTTCAGTTTGCAGCTCAACAATGCACTTGAGTAGTCTTCCTGACAGACAGGAACGGCTGCAAAAAGAGACAAACATCATCACTGAAAGAGATGGGTCCCAACCAGTAAGAAAGACCAAATGACACAGGCTAAGTAAAGACAGAGTTTCAAAAGAGAATTCTTGGGACAAGAGGCAGGAAAGGAACATAACCTTCAGCAGAACTGCAGTTTGTTCTCACAGCCCTTAAGTTAATAGTTTAGATAGTGAGTTATTAACAGATTAGAGAGAAGTAAATTCAAGGGCCCCAAGAACTTTCTCCTCTGAAATACAGCAATTAGTATTGGATCACTAAAAAAACCCCCAAAAACCCAAAACAAAGCACCCACCACAATTTAGAAAAAGTGAAAAGGCTTCCTAGTCATATTCCACTGTAATCTGGAAAAATATATGCTTCCCATAGTGGTACTGAACGATTTACACAAGTAAAATAAAGGATTCCAAATGTCTTATGTTACTAGTATAGATTGGTTCCTAAAGACAGAAGAGAGCCACCATGTCAGCAAAGTCTGCAAATGAATCTTGGGCTATGAAATCACCAGGATTTGCTGTGATATAAAGGGCACTTTGAAGGAAGTACATTTGGCCCTAAAGCTGTCTTTGAGATTTGTTTTCCATACCTGATGGAGACACTTTCGAGCTTTGTCGTATTCACTCCTCAAACAGTAAGCACTTCCAAGGTTAAACAACATCATTGTTCGCGCAGATGTGACCGAACTGGGGTAACACTGGGGGGTCTGCTTGCCAGCTGCAATTAAAAAAAAAATAAAAAATAAAATTTTCCTTATACTTTTATTCTGAACTAGGCAAGTAAGTTCCTGTACCCTGCTGAATACAGTGGCTAGTACTTACAAGATTCCATCGCCTCATTCTCTCCTTTGTCAGACCCTGCAAAGAAAAAAATCCACAAAACCCATCATATTCTGTGAGCTTTTTTTAAAGCTTATTATGAAAATAATACAAAGATACAAATTTGCTTCTTTCTTCATGGTCTGACATCAAAGAGGGAAAACACATCTGTTTGCTCAAGAGTTTAACACCACTTAAGACTTCCTATTTTTAATGTTGTGCTTTTAGATTTGCAGATGAGTACAGTGAAGTTTGAACTGCAGACTGTCACTGAAAGCTGAGCTGCTGCACTTGACTATACAGATGGGCTCTGAGGTGTTTTTCTGTTACGGAATACACGCTCCCAACTGGAAGCACTGCAAGAAGATGAAGATACAGGTTAACTAGCTTCCCTCCACTCCTATCTCTCACTAAATGCAGTAAGTAGACTGCACTGGTACTCCAAAGCCTAATTTAGGTACTGAGAAGCTGGAAGAGAAGGCATGAAGCCCAAACTTAACTGTAATGGCACATTTAACAAAAGCAGCTTTCAAAAGTCACCTTTGAACAAGCCAAAACAATACAATATACAGTTCTATTTATGTTACAGAATCAGCTACTTTAAAGAAATGACAAACATGCAAAAGACAAACCAAACACAAAGTAGGGACTAAAGCCAGGAAAACAAAACTAAAAACACAAATAAAAAAACCCCAAACAACCTATGGTCTTAAAACAAGATGTCTTAATCGTTATATTTATATATAGAAAGTTATAGCAGGAAGGCAGCTGAAAGCATAACCAGTGCTAATGAAGCGTGGATTCATTAACCTTGATCCTGCTCATTTGAAGAAATCCCGAGGGAAACATCAGTGACATTCTCAGGGTTCAAGTGAGTGATGGCATCAGATATTCTGTCTAGAGAGATGAGAGCTTCTGCTGCATACAAATGCCCAAGAAACCTACAATAGCAAAGGGTGAGGTACAAATGTCAGTGAAACAACCTGCACAATCTGTTAGGTAAGACAAACTGAGCACATGAAAACTATTACTTGAAACACTTGCATGGAAGTTAGCTTGCTTAGGAAGTATTATCAGAATATCCAATTCTGCCATTTACTGCTTTTAGGCACTAATGTCATGAAAAAATCTGCACCTGAGCAATGACAATTCTCTCACACACAGGAATTGCCATTCTAGAAAGACAGTACCTTGGTATGGCTTTATCCCAGAGAATTAGAAAAGGAATCCTTACAGAAACAACCCAGGATATGGATACATATATCATTTGAGGTGTTAACTGACTTTACAGTCAATAAAAATCAAACTAATTCTCTAAGGTAGCTGCATTTCTAAGGACAGCAACTACACAAGCCTGTCTACTGGGCACAAACACCTTTCCAACTGCGGGTTTTGCAAAAGAATAAGCAAGTCTTATGTTTGGCACTTGTAGTTCAGCTCAGCTAACCAGCGCTTTCCTTTTTCAACTCTGGAACAGAAGGAATATTGTTGATCAGGAGTGTAGTTAGTTTGCAAATATTTTATCTGTAACAAAAGTTGAGCAAAAAAATTCACTCTTGTTTTCTGCAGCTGTATAGAGCTGTACACAGTACACTTCAGACTGACTGTCTGGTTGGATGGAATGAATTACAAAACATCAGGTAAAGCATCAGTCAATCATCCAAATGAACTTCTGCAACTTAGATCTGATACAGCAAACATACCTTTCTACATGCAGTTATTTCACCTGTGAAAACAGGAACAGTTCAATATTCCCAGTCTGCACAAAAGCCTAGTTTCCTGGGACCAAGATACATGGCTCTTTGCCTTTGCAAAAAACTGTCAACTGCCTTCACAAAATTATGTGGAACCTTGCAAACTCCTCTAATATCTTGCTTATACAATGACTGTGCAAAAAGATGTGTTTCTGCAGTAGTCTGAAGCATGGGAGCCAGAGTTTAGTGGGCATTAATCATTTTAGAGTATGCTGTCAGCATATAAAAATAAGGGCGAGTTAGCTTGCTTTCTACAAGTACATTACCAGTTTTGAAAAAAATCATTACTACCATGAAAACCTCTCCTATATTTTATCCCATGTGTGACACTGGAATTGAATGCACAAACAAGGTCAGAAGGATGGGGCTAAAGCTGCCTTTTGGAATTTGCAGAGATGGATGAGAACTGATGGGTAGAAACAGAATGATTTTACTATCTTTCCAAAAAATACAGTACCAAATGAGAACTGAAAAAGAGAAACGGAACAATAGAACCTGTAAAAGCAACAGCAGCAGGTGAAGTGACAGTCCTGCACATCCGAGGTGTGGTACCTGGCTGACTGAGCAAGCCTTACCCCCTTAGGCTGTAGTGTCATAAGTGAGCTTTCAGCAGCGTGCTGGCTTAGGCTGATGTTGTCCATCCACCCCCAGCTGCTCACTCCGGCCCCCTGTGCTGTGCCAACATGAGCACATGCAGCCCCACAGTGAATCAGGACAGAGACCTGACAGCCCTGCTGCTGCACAGGACCCATGGCTGGACAGTTGTAAACGACAACAAACGTGGTGATAGATTCCAAATTACATGGAATTCACACACAAAGGAAGGGACCCGCATTTCTGCGTGTTAATGAACATTCAGTCAGTGCTTCAGCAAGAGCAGGAGTGGGCCAAGGAATTCTTTGCATCAGACACAGAATAGGCAAGCAGCTACAGACATTGGAAGCTTAACTCAGAACTCTCCAGTAAAAAGCAGAGCTGAGAGAGAAGAAATGGCCGTATCAGACTTACTTAAGAGACCCTGACAGCTTTGGTTGCTGAAGAAGTTTATCTGCGTGATTCAATGCCATAAGGTTATCACCCAAAGCCAGAGCCACGTAAGCACTACACGCAAGTATTGAGCACCTGGAGGGGGAGAAAAAAGGGAGGGGGGGAAAGCCAATATGTTAAATGGAGAATTCTTTGATTCCAAATGCAGCTGTAAGATGTATTTCTTGTTAAGTGCTGAAGAAATAAATCATAAATTTTCAATAATGTCTTTGCATCAAACTATGAAGTAAAGGAGCTAGTGTTTTGTTATCTATGGCCTCAATCACATTCTCTGAATTAGGAGATATATACATTGTGTTCTACCGGTATAAACTAAGGACCACCACTGTGTGGTGGTCACCACTAAGATTTTGAAATTTTGACCATAAATAACAGATTAACAAAGATGGACCTCATCACACCTATCGTTTTTGTTATGGACCGTCCCTCTTTCTCACCCTCTTTTTATTTGTTTTGTCTTGGACTCTCATTCGTGCTCCCTGCCCTCCCCTCTTGCTGCAGCAAAGGGCAGCAGATTGCTGGATTTCTGTAACATACCATCTAGCAGTCAGTTCAGTTGTAACACACTTCACTCTTGTATTGTACATTTGCACACAGGGAGACAATAAACACTGGAGGATTTGACATTATTTCCAGTTCTGTGTTCAGCTGAGAGCTGTAATCCACTGCCAGGACTCTGATTGATACGTGGCATTTTGTTGCTGTCACTAGCTTTTTTATCTTTCCAAAACCACAAAAATTGGACAGTTCCTGCAATGAAATCCAAACTACTCCCATTTTTCATCTTCAAACAACAACTCCACATCAGGATGCCATTATTAGGCCAAGCTTCACACTTCACAATAATTCCCCCCTCCCCAAACACAGCACTTGGGGATATTTTCCACTTGGTAAGACATCATTCAGCGCAGGCTGCCGTGTCCTCAGGGCACAAGGCTCTGCTTGCCATGGCTGTGACATCTTGCTGCAGGCAAAACCTCTGTCCTTCTCCAGGCAGGAAGAGCAGATCCCCTTAGGGGGGTCCCACGTTGGGAGCGACGGGAGAAGAGCCTTCGACTCTCGCGCCGGTAGGTGGGCTGTTACCGCGCCAACCTTCTGGCAACTGTCAAGCCCACTTTTGGTCCAGCAGTAAGTCATGTAATTCGTGGCAGGACCTGGGGTGCCTTTATTCCCCTTTCCCAGGAGGCATGCTCCTTAATTATGCACAAGCAGGATAAGCAACTTCTCCAGTGTTTCTCCCTACCCCCCACTTCCTCTCCACCGTGCCCAGATGTCACATCAAATCTGAACACGTACAAAAGCCTGAGAGAGGGAGAGGAAAGCTTACCCAGCTCAAGTCCTAAACATAAAATATTTCTGAAAGGTTGTGACTGGGGAGGGGGAGGGAATGGGGAAGAAAGTCTCTATAATAACAGCTTTCTTTTAACTATCCTCTTTTTGTCTCTGTCTCAAGGAAGCACAGCTTTTAAATCACCAGCTTTTAAATCTCACTTAGAGATGCTAAGTGTCACCAGCTAAATACCCTTAGACACAAGCCAAGGCCTGCAGAGTTTGTTGCTAATGTCCTTTACATCAATATCTGTCCTCTATTTTCCACAACTTTTTTAAAGGCTATTTTTATTTCTGAAAGGGAAAGAATTCAAACACAAGATGCACACAATAGGCAAGTCCAGCAAAACCAAAACCTACGCCTCTGCCCTAAGGACTCATCACTGTTAAGTCAAGTACGAGCTGGCAAGATTCTTCAGCAACAACCAACTAAAGAGGAGGAAAACATCCAGGTTTTCTTCCCCGTGGTACTGCTCTTGCACACTTGGATCCATTGTTGAGCTGGCTGAACCAAACGCTCAGGAGAGCTGACAGCTAACCGGAGCAGAAGAATTGCACCACAAGGGAAAAGACAAACTAGTTTTTCACCCCGGTCAGGATTCTGACAAAACTCCACAGGTCGCCTTTGAGCACGGCAGACTTCCAGCATCACTGAGCCTCTGCATGCCCTGAATAAAACTGCCTTTGCACTAGGAAAAAGAAAAATGTTTTTTTAAACTGCCAGATTATGTCAAATAGCCTCTTGTGTAGGTCTAGGCAACAAGATTTGTCAGCCCACACTGACTGCAAGTTCACAGAACCCAAGCTCCACATCTGACTTGGCTTATTTCTCAGGCAAAGGGTGAGCCAGAGCAAATCCAGTTGTTCAAAACTTACTATCATCAAGGCACCAAAAATCACACTTCTAAACCATTTAGAGAACATCTCTAATCTGAAATGACTTCAAATAGCTAACTAATCACAAGAGTGGATATGAGCTATCTACTTTTTACGTTTCAACACAGACAAAGCAATCCAAAATTTGAAGAAATACAGAATGCAGACTGTGCTTACTCAGTAGGGAAATTCAGCACCAGTGAAGGGGAGATGGGGGAGAACCAGGCAGTGGTTGACAGTGGGGAAGAAGAAAGTGAAAACAGTTACAGGTGTAATTATTGTAAGCTTGCAGTATTCATGACAGGGCCAAACAGATGACTTCAATTTTTAAGTGCACAAATGAGGCAATACTAGGTAGGTGTGGAGAAGAGACAAGGTGTACTGGTGGGCAATGGTGGTCCTTACAGTATTTATTACCTGTGAAATTATTAGCAATATCAGTGATGCTCCTGGAAATAGTAGGATAGGCACACTTCAAAAATATGTAAGTAAATAAAATAAACATAATGATGGACTGGAGAGGGTCAACACAGGAGTTAAAAGAAAGAAAAAATGGAAAAATTGGATCACATGCCTTCAAGCAAGGGCTTGCAGTTCAGGTCTATTCAGGACAAAGCAGCTGATCAAACTATTCCTTTATCTCTAGCTGCTTTGAAGGGGAAAATTAACATTTTCACACCAAGTTGTTCAGTCTAGGGAGAAAAAGGCTACAACAAGGGCTATCTATCTGATGCTATCTATCTATCTCAACTATTTACAATAAATTCCACAAAATTTTCCAAAGGTAGCACTGTGATCTACTAGAACTTCTTTACTCTGAAGCATGGAGCAGAATTGTTTAGAAGAAACTCAAAAGAAGAATCTGGAATTTCCACTTCCTATGCATAAATTCTTATCAATGTTTGGCATCCTCAGACTTCTGCTTGTTGCGTTTAAGACCTTGCAGGTGAATTACTGATGATGAGGATAGTCTGTTCAACTAATTTCTGCACAAGTACCAAAAAATACACAGGACACAGAAGCCTTTTCTAGATGGTATTTTTAAGAACTACTTAGGGGCAAGGTCAGTCGGTGATTTTAAACTCTTATTAGGACGTGCAACTGTACAAATTGATGCAAAAAAAGCGCATTTAAGTAAGTTCCCCACTTCAGTACTAGAAGCAACAGAGGTTTTTCAACCCAGTAACTTAACAGGGAAAAACTGAACTGAATAGACACCTATTCCTCAGGAAAATTCTTGCCAACATGCAGTATTTTTGCTTAGTTTTCCCTGACTAGACAAGAGTTTTAATTTTCTCACATAGTTAGCAAGACTACAGGAATATACTAACATTTGAGTGTAACATGTTTTGGTTTTCATGGCTATCTGCAGAAATCTAGAAATAGTTTTAGCAGAATCACTCTCTAGGGCTCTAGGGATGTCCAGTCCTCTGGATTTAACCACCAAAGCAAGTATTGCAAAAGAAAGAAATCAATGCTTTTCCTTTCCTTATTTGATGTTCTTTACCAGAAGCAGTACAGTTCTTGCTAAACTGATAAGTTTTTCCTGATGTGTTGTCCACTTTCATCAGTAGGTAACAACAGCTGATTTCAAAATAAAAGACTAGGTATTAAAAAAAAAAAAAGTCACAATGTGGCACCATGTAATTTTGACATGTGGCAACCACATTTTCAAGAGTCAGGAGGAAAAAAAACAACAGCAAAACCAACAAAACCCCACAACCAATCCACATCACTGGTTTTAATCGAGTGCTTTCTATTTCAAGTACCATACTCTTGTACCGCTTCAGAACAAATAATCAATGTCTTGGTAATGTCTCCTCACAGATATCTGCTACATCGCTTTTAAACGAATGCAAGGAGATTTGCTACACATCGTGGAGCAAAGTAAAGGTTAAGCTGGGCATTATAAAACACAGGTTACCTGGAGTTAGGCTGGAACAGAGTGTTTACCCAAGAGTTTAAGTGGGAAATTACTGTATGTTTTGTCCATAATGGAAACTTAAAACAGATTTCTTTTTTTCTAAACAGGTGCAAGCTTTATAGCAAGAGAGATTTTCAATGTGCTGGCAGCCACCTGAAATAATTAACGCTGCCAGCAAATGACAATCTTGTCGGGGAAAAGTAAAGAGGTTCCAGATAACACGACACTTATTTAGACACATGGGAGTTATTATGTTTGGAGAGCACTCAGACTGCTCAACAAGTAGTTTAAGGATCTTAGAGAACACGAAAAACTCCTGTGTGTTCTTCCATGGTGAGGAAGTCAAATGCCTGGACAGAGGCAATCTTTCTTTCTATTTTGTGCAAACTATGGATTTGCTCCTGCTGAAAGAAGCACCATTCTCATTGGAAAGCAGCTACCACTTTCATTCAGCATCTGTTACAGGGGTTGAGTTCCAAACTAGCCTTATCAGGGCCTTAAAAGGAAAAAGTACCATACAGTAATTTCTACCCCTTCCACCAATCGCAACAGCCACTGTCATGTTTTTAGCTCTGTTGTTTATGGGACTTGTTTTGGGGTTGTTGGGTTGGTTGGTTTTAGTTTTGCCCAATATATAATGCCAAGCCTATAATAGCGAATAGTGGGATCAAACAGACTGATCTACCTTCTGAATTAAAATTCTGGATGGTTTCTATTTGTTCACACTCAAAGCCCAGAAGAAAGGAAGCACATGCATTTGGAAAAAAGTCATCCTTAGATTAAAAGCTACAATTCACTATTGCAAGTGCCTAAAAAAAACCCAAAACCTACCAATGACTCCAGAATCACAGCATGGTTTAAAAGGGGGCTCATTTAGTGGTGAATATTTTATATTATTTACTTGCCTTAAATTTTCTAATTCCTGTTTCTTCAAAGGCGAAGAAGGTGGAGCTGCAATGAATTTATCTCCTTCATGACTTTTATTGCTAGAATAAAAACAGTGTATTAATTATAGGGAGTGACTATAAATAATTAATTAAAAAATTCTCAGTGTAATAAGCATTGATATTTATTCACTCCATTTAAAATGACAGCAAAAATTCTATCGCCTGAAAACCAGGGAAATGAAGTTATGCAAAAATTGAGGCACATGCTCTTATCCTAACTGTTCTATTTCAGAAGGAAGAAGAAGGACATTTACTGAGAAGGATCTGACTGACAGACCAAACAACCCATGCCATTCTCCACAGCCTTGAGCTATTTTTGAAGTCTGGTGTAGGACAAGAACTTTAAACTGGAGAGATAAACTGGAACTCACTGCATTTGTAGCCTCTCTTAGCCTCTAAAAAAAAAGCAGTAAACTAGTTCTCTCCATAGACTTCTTAAAAACTAATTAAATTAGTATGAAATTGTGTTCTCCAATAAGCTGAAAGACAACCTCCTTCTGCAATAAGAATTGAAGAGAAGGTTGATAGATGCACCTTGGCAGAGAGAGACATTAAGGTTTAGAAACAACAGATCAAAAAAAAAGAGAATTGAAACCTAACACCTAACAATAACTTTTTCATTGATGTAGTTTCATATCTCTATATTACAAACAGGTAAAATAACTCTTAACTTAAGACCTTCAAAACAGATAGCAACAGACTCCAAGGAAACCTGTACTCAATATCACTGTAGTGTATATACTTCGTGCCAAAAATTAGATTAAAAAATACCCTTAGCCACTGATTCACTGTGTTCTTGTGGATAACAGAAGAATCTGTCTCAGAGTCAGCCTGCTCAGTTGGTGGGATTTGCTTCAAAACCACAGAATCATAGAATGGTTTGGGTTGGAAGAGGCCTTAAAGATCCCCTAGTTCCCCCCCCCCTGCCATCAGCAGGGACACCTTCCACTAGACCAGGTTGCTCAAAGCCTCATCCAACCTGGCCTTGAACACTTCCAGGGAAGGGGCAACTACAACTTTCTTGGGCAACTTGTGCCAGTGTCTGACCACCCTCACAGTGAAGAATTTCTTCCTAATATCTAAGCTAAACCTGCCCTCTGCCAGTTTAAAGCCATTTCCCCTTGTTCTGTCACTACCTGCCCTTGTAAAACGTCCCTCCCCAGCTTTCTTGTAGCCCCTTCAGGTACTGGAAGCCTCTGGAAGATCTCCCTGGAGCCTTCTCTTTTCCAGGCTGAACAGCCTCAATTCTCTCAGCCTGTCCTCACAGGAGAGGTGCTCCAGCCCTCGGATCATCCTCATGGCCTCCTCTGGACTTGGTCTAACTGGTCCATGTCTTTCTTGTGTTGGGGGCTCCAGAACTGGACACAGTACTTCAGGTGGGGCCTTACAAGAGCGGAATACAGGGGGAGAATCACCTCCCTCGACCCACTGGCCACCTTCTTCAATTATTGTGGTTTTCTTCAAAATCTTATATCTTTTACTGTTCTCTTGCAGAGGGTCCCTTGTCAGAAAGAACAAATCCTTGGAGAACCTTTCAGAATGTGACACACAAATTCAAGAACAGCCTGCTTTGTTGCTGGATATTTTGAAATTGGCAAGGACCACTGGGAGATATAAGGGAGTCTTTTTAAAATTTCTTTTAAGCTGAAGAAGCACCTGATTTTGAAAGCAGAAGGTATTAATGGATCTTCCTATACAGAGGATGTTTCCTTTTCCTCACCCCTACAAAACAAACAACAACAACAAAACCCACAAAAAACAAAACAAAAAGGAGGTCTCACCTGAATAAGTGAGAGACATTTTATTTTCATCACTGACACTCAGTGGGCCCCATAACCTTAAAATTTAAGCCTCATTTAAACCACAGTAGCTTCACCTCAATGGGCTGCATACAACTCACCAGGGGAAGTTAGTTCACAACCTCCAACCTCGGTAAGCAAAAAAGGCACACCTCCCTCCCCCTCAACATTTACAAACCATTTGGTCACTTGACAGGAAAGATTGTCACTGGGGGGAAAAAAGGGTTACAGAGAATGGCCCCCAAATATTGTTGTAGCAGTTGCAGCCACTGACTCCCAGCCCTAGTCTAGCCCCAGGCAACCTCAGAATATATGGGGAGGCGCCTTGTGCCTACACAGCACAGCATATGTGCAGTAAATCCTGCCATGTGACAAGTGGATCTTCTTAAAATTTATCTGTACAAAACCTTCGTGTTTTTTTAATTACTCTCTAAGTATTTCAAGTTCTAACATAGCCACTTTTTCCAGATCAGTTATTGTAACTCTTCCCTTCTCAAAATGATCATTAATGAAATTGCAGGCTATGGCTGAAGTTACTCTTCAAAAGGAAGTTCGGAATGCATCAGGATCAACACAAAAAATTAAAACACCTTCCTGCTATGGAACATTGTCTACAAGTTACTTCTTCTAAAGCTTTGAGGGGAAAAAAAGATATTTTCCTTAAACTCTTTTTTATAAAATGCAATTTATTAAGCAATAGCTCCATGCTGCTTTCCTACTTATCTTCTAAATCTAGTTTCCTATTTCTAGTCTAAAACAAACACAACAAAGCGTACTAGGGCTGAAGAATGTCAAATCTGATCACAAGGAAACATTTACAGCTGAGCTGCTAGACATTCATATATTGAATTAAGTATATGGCGCACGTGCACAGACACACAAAACCACTGTAACATGTGAAACTTCACTTACAATTAGTGAAATACCAATATGCACTGCAGGAGGGTGTGGGAAAACATAACGTTTGCAGCACAGAAAATCAGATGGCTAGTGCAAAAACGAATTTCACTGTCTCATTTATTAAAGTTGTTAGGAAACAACTCCGTATTTTATTCTTAAATTAGCACACTAGCAAGTAAAACAATGAGCAGCTAAACAATTTCTTTGGATATCCCAACACTGCTAAGAGAATTTACAAATATGTTAATTTTTTTCTGCTGGCCAAACAGGATAGGTAGCAGACCCAGATCGTCAGCCCAGAGTTCCTCTGGACAAAAGGAAAGGTTTATATGCCATTCTGTTTACCTGCATGCTTCACTGCTTTCACTGTTTTCTGTATTTCCCCCCAGCTGATTACTGGTTTTAGATCCATTTTCCTGCTTTGGCTCCTGCTGATCTTCTGGCAGTAGAAGCAAGGCATTTCTTAGACAAATCGCTGCAAATTCCATACTGGCTACAGGTATTGCTGAGGACTGCCCATCACTTAAAGAGACACACAAGTTAGGCAGTGAGTAACAATTCTAAAAATAGCAGAGCTCCAGAAAGATCTGAATGCAGAGAAAACTTTATCCCAAAAAAGTTGAATCATGTTTTAATAGAAGACATTTAAATTATGAAGATGTATGTATCTTGCTATTATTACATATGGAAAGTACATCACGATGCCCAAATACAGTAAGCAGATTCGACTACCTAATTGCCAGAAGTTATCTTGTTTTTCTTTACTTCCTGAAGTTTTATGACAGAGAAAGTAGATTCTTCCTGCACTTTTCTAAAGTGGATTACTGAAAACATACATTTTTAAGTGAGAAAAAGAGGACAGATTTAGCTAACTGGAAATACAAATTTCAGATGAATTCATTTTAAGCTTTAATGGCCTTAGTTATACTGAGGACACAGTTAAGCCCTCTGCTGGCCACCGCAGAGCAGGCAGCCAAGCGATGTTGAAGTAGTTTACCGTGTCTCTCTCTTCACTACATTTATAATTCCAAAATGCACAGTTATTTCATGACAGTTTTAAAAACTCCTGATAAACAGATGCATATCCTTAACAAAGCTATGATAACAAAAGAAAGAGCCCATGGAAAACATACTTACTTATAAAGGACATTCTGTATTGACTGGGATGCTAGGACTATCTTACGGTGGTAGCCTTGACCCACTATAGATTGCACAATTCCCTTTTTGCTGGGAAGACCTTTAGTCTCTTGTTCTGACGTCTAAAAGGGGGGGGAAAAAAAAAACAAAAAGAGGACTAAAATATCAAGGCTGTTGAATGAGAGCTTGGCAAAATAAGTGAAAGCTGTAAGAAGACTTTGAACCCTGCTGAAATGTATTAATTAATAGTTTATATGGGTACAGTTATAAATCTTAAGTACCATGAAGGATCAGGCACCATCTATTGTCTTTGTGCTGCAGAGGGATTTTACTGCATGCAGTGTAACCACAGATTAGTTCTGACAGCTTGTCTGATAGCCTACTGACCTAGTTTCTCCTCTGTTTTGAAAGCAAAAGAACAATGAACCAAAGTAGTATTAAAAGAACCGCTAGGATATCTAAAAAGAAATCATATGATCAGGCGAACAATATTCAGAATTAACACTGCAATGCCTGCCATCTTCTCTCCCTGCTTACACAGCACTAAAAAACCTCTCTGAAAAATCTGCTCTCAGTTCCACAGGGAGCATGAAGCTGGACTGCAACATACACAAAGTTACATTAAATTAACTTCTTTAACAGATTTTTAATTATACAGATATTCTGGGAGTCAAATGAACTTAGAGCACCCCAATTGTCAGTCCCAAGAATTCTCTCTACACCATATTCACCGGTGCTCGTTTGTTTTACCATGAACCATCTTAACAACTTTGTTGGTAAGTAAAGTTAGTGATGAAGAGTTGCAGTCCTACAGAAAAATTTATCCTAGAGCTGTATCTTAAATATTTATAACTTTCCAGAAAATTTATCAGAATCTATTGTGAAGAATATTGACATTATAATGATATTTACTGTAAAACAGAAAAAAACCCCACATACAGTTAGTTTGGATACAAAGAATTTATTTAGAAAAATGCATTTTAAAAGTGCAGAAACTAAATAATCTTCCATCTGTATCTTATAAACTGAAATAATAAAGTAGGTGAAAGTTAGCCTCAGTGAAATTACTTTTCTGTATGATGTTCAGAGCATAAATATGAATCCATATTTAGATATCAAGGAATATTATTGCAAATTGAGTTACAAGGTCAAATTAAACACACTATTGATTTTAGGGCTTCACTTTTCATGTTGCAAATATATCTTACAATTTAAAGACACTGCCCTTTGGCCTTTAATATTAACACCATCCAAAGTTTGGGTTTTTTTTTTCTTGCAAGATTACAAATTTAGGAAACAGCAAGCTGTTTTTGTGACATGAATTCAAGCTCTCTGGTACAGCACACAACACAGCGCTGTGGGAGGAAGAAAGCTAGGCTTCAGGAGCCTGGCATGATCATCTGCTTTGGCTAGTCTGCAGTAATTAGAGAAGTGCCCCATAAGGGTCTGTATTTCTCTTTTCCAGACTGCTAAGCACTGTTCTCATAAACAAAAGCCTAGCTTTGTTTTTTGCCACAAAACCTATGGCAATTCAGTCTCCTATATCCAGCTTTCCACTAGAGATTATCAGCTGTGTCTTCTTTATCAATATGCGACTTGTAACCATAGGACAGACAGAAAATTGCAAAATCAGTATGAAGGAAGCTGTTCTTCCTACACTTGCTGTGCTTTATAAACCAAGTACTCAGAACTATCTGACAACACCTAGGACATACACAATCAAAATCCGTGTGGTTTTGATCCAGTACTCTTGAAGCTTCAATGCTGTGCCTGTGAAATGGGGATATAAGCAATCTTCTCCCATAAACTTACATAACTGTGAATATCTTTCTTAAATTTTCTGAAATGGAGGTATCAAAAGAATAAGCACCATTTAAATTCCCATGGGAAAAGTTACAAATTTTATATCTGGAAGGATTTGGATAGTGTTCAGTAAATAAAGGTGCAGAGGCCACCCAGAGAGGGAAAACTGAGAGAATTTAGAAGGAAGGAAAAAACAAGAGTCTACACAGGCGTTTGTTCAATTAATCCCACCCATCCCATGCACTGAGTGAAACTGGCATATAGCGGAAATAACTGCATGGGATCATGCAATCATAGATTACATCATCACACACACATACAAGAGGGGTGAATTACAGTTTCTTAGGGAATCAAATCAAGTACAGTATCTCTTAATTTCACAGACACACTATTTTGGTGCAGTTTTCTGTTCAAAAGAACAGACGATCCCTATCCTCACTACTCATTTGAATTTTAATATATGGGCTTATCCTAAACAGACATAGATCAAGAGGGTGAAACCAAGATGCCCCAGAAGACATGCAGTATGTCTGCTGTCAGCAGTTTTCCACAAACTTTGCCAGTGGAAGGGATTCAGTTCGCCAGTGGCGGTGATCACAACAGCTTCAGATGAAGAAGGCTGCTCTCAGCTTCCTCAGTCTATGTCACTTTTATGGCAGCAAGCAGCTGCATGGTGTTTAACTGCCTACGGGGTTAAAACCATGACACCACACTAGAGTCCTACCCCTCTCAACCTCCAGCAGCAGTTCAGTGAGAAAATAATTAAAATTTCGACGAGTTTTGGCCAGCTGAAAAGAAGGAAGAACACATGCAAAGATTGTAATGCTACATCTTGTTATCTACATCCAGCTTAGTCCTATAAAATGAAGCCGCACCTGAATTAGGATAGTGGATTTACAGTAGACAATTAAACAAGTAGTGTTTAAGGAATTTATATGACTTGTACATCAAGAAAACTGTAAATAATTAATTGAGAACATCCCAGGAAGGAAGCTTCTCTAACTAAGTACTTTTAGTAGCCCTCTACAAGAGTCTCTGCATCTTCCAGTAAAGTTCTAGGACATAGTGCTGCATTTTGTTTTTAAACAAGATTATTCACCAGTTTGATCCCATAACCATATTAATTAAAATATCAAAAAACTAACCTTACTGTCTGCTAAACTAGTAGCAACATACTTTCAGTCACACCTGTAACACACTAGTACCTACCCTTAGAGACAAAGGATCTCTACTGGAGAGTTGCATTTTTCTCCTATTACTCCAGCTAAAACTTAAGATAGAACGTCATCATATCAGAGGATGTAATGCAATTCCTAAACATCAAATACCAAGATGTTTCAGTCAAAAAATTTTCTCAAAAAACCCTTCCTCCTCAAAGCATCAGCAACAAAAGCTACCACAGTTGTT